CCTTGGGAATACACCAAGGTCGGCGACCTCGCTATGTCTTACTGGCCAAGTTGTGCAATTAAAGGTTCTAAGGTAAGTTGATGCTTCACGACACGCGGCGGCCCCGTACTCTCCCTGATTAACTCAAGGGCTACCGATACTAACCAAAGTGCCATATCAACATAGATACTATTTCAACCGTGTCGGTATACCCCACACAGTTCCCTCACAGTTTATTGCTACTTACCTAAAAGGTGTTCCCCAGATCCGAGTGTAGGATCTATAATAACCCAAACAATCCCTTAAAAATAAAGCAATCAAGATAAGCCAAAGAAGTAATTTAAATGACCTAGATCCTAAGGTATACCCCACTTATTAAAATCCCCAGCAGAATTGCCAGTTCTGTGATACGGTGGCAGAACCGACTGTTACATTGGTTCGCGTTTTTTATTCACAAATGTTGCGGTAAGCAAGAGTCGCCACCAACTTTTATTTCATCCAACCATGGGAAAGAAAAAAGAACAGAAAAAACCTTTTTCGAGAATATTTCTGAGTACGGGGGGCAGATTATAGAAAGGGAAGGTGTTAGCATCCTTTCCATCAGTGGTTTTCCACGGGCTCTTAGGTACTTTGCTCATTTTTAAAATTGCTTGTGTGTGCTTGTTTGAAAAAGTTTTACTTCGTGATAACCCTTGTATCAGTCCTCAAGAGTGTGACGAAGTTGTTTTGAAAATTGTTTTGAAAAGTGTTTGTGTGAAAAGTTTTGTTTGAGCAAGTACCTAGGAGCTAATTTACCTACTCGAAAAAGGTCTGTTCGTTTTTCTTTAGACAACGCTACCCTATTATTAAGGAATAGGTAGCACCGTCATTGGAGTTTTAAAGAGACGTTCGAAGGGACGAAATAGTCTCTGAAGGCAACAAGTAAAGATACCTTAGCATTTCGAAGGGACTACCGTCATAAGATCAATTCGTAGCCAACTCGAGGGACAAGTTGGGACTATGATCTTTATGACAATTTTGAATCACGGGTCATTGCTAAGGTATCCCTACGTTCGAGGGACACGACCATTATTTCCAAGGCAACCGAGTGGGGTAAACCCTAGGAGTGAACATGTACAAGTGTGTTTGATTTAGTTATTTTTGTCTTTTTTACTAGGTGAGCTAACATTTTAATTTACAATCTTATCATACATGCCTAATTACTAACAGTTAATATATACAAGAAAATAAAGTGCGAGAATTATAAATCTACGCTATTTCATGACTTTGGGGCATTTATATAAAAGATACAAGAAATAAAAGGCGGAATTTTAAGCCTAACCTATTACATCCTATAATCAGTTACATTATATATGAAAAAAAAATGTGAGAAATAAAATAACACGCGCGAGACGAAATCAAACGTCTAAAAAGAAAAACCTAAAAAAGTAATCTAAGTAAACAATAACATCTTTTTGGTTGTCTATTAATTTATTAGAAAAAAGAAGAAATAATCTAAAATCTAAATTTAATTTAAGAAAAATAAATTTGAAATAAAGTCAGCCTAACTCTAAATTCTTTTTATATTTTTATTAAGAAAACAATTCAAATAAAAGTGGATCTAAATCTAATTGGTTTTAAAATTATTAAAATAAAATTAAAAGTAATTAATTAATTGAATTAATTTTTTATAAAAAAAAACTAAACCTATTTATTTATTTTTTATTTTTTATCATTATTGAAAAAAAATATTTTTTGAAAACTACTAAATAATAACTAAAAAAATAAGAAAAAAATAAAAAATAAAGAAAATGGACTTGGCAGTCAAGACTAATGAAGGAAAAATAAGAAAAAAATAAAAAATAAAGAAAATGGACTTGGCAGTCAAGACTAATGAAGGACCTGGGACTCGAACCCAGGCCCTCCAGTTTCACAACCACGCGTTTCACCACTGCACCATCTTATCCATTCGTTCATCTTAATCAACATACAACATTAAATGTAATACAAGCAAAAATGAAAAAAAAATTAAAAAATGAAAAGCGCGCGCTGAGTCATCGTCCTCATCATTTTCAATATCATACTTTTACTGACGGGCATTCCGTTGGTAAAGCTTTTAGTGACAGTTTTCCGTCGTAGCTATATCCCTGTAACATTCCAAAATAGAGAATACCGAAAATAAACTCCACCTAAGGGCATGGTTAGACTGGAAATTTTCTCCTGAATGCAATGGTACAACTAATTTTGTCAAATTTTATCTCTAGCTAGGATTCCCCAATATGGAGCTTCGAAACCCTAACCATGGCAATCAGCTATACCTGCGCTTAAACCTTGATTAAATTATACATAAAGGTTCCTATGATGATCATGAGTACGAATATACAATTAAACCAGGTTTACAATGCATGAATGATTGAAATCGAAACTGAAAAAATAAGAGAAAACCGTTGGTCGAGGGAACTATTTTCACGTGATTTCAAAGGTTAGCAAAGATTGCAGACACGTCAAGGAGTCTCCAGGAGTGTGTTTGAATCTCTTGTTTGAGCTAAAATCAGTTGGAATTTGTAATTTGAATTTTGACAGTTTGAGTTTTTTTGGGTGATTTGTGCAGCGATTTTTCCAGCTTTTTTCGTGTCTTTTTGGCCTGGACAGATGAGGTATATATAGTAGAGAGGAAGGGGACAAGTTTGAATGGAAGAAATCATTGCCATAACTCTTGTTTTCCAACAAAAATCCAACACATTCAAAGCTTTCCTATTTTGCCAAAACATGCCTTATCTTTACTTGAATGAACCTGGTCATTGTAGCACGAAATTATGGGCCTCTAAGCAAGCCAAAACACTAGCCTACATGCTTAAACTCATTTCCATGTATTTTATACAATTTATTTTATATTTATTTGAAATAAATTAAAATAAATATGTAAAAAATAGGTAGAAAATACAAGGCCATGCAAAAATAATATTATAGGTCCTCTATAACCTTAGGAAGATGCTTGAACCTTAAAAAGCTAGGCCATTGACTCAAAAATCTAAATCTGCTCAGTGCACCATTCTTGAAATTTCCAAAATTTTCCCAACTTGGGCAAACCATAACTTGCTCAATTTTTATCTCATGATGATGATCTTGTACTTTTTGGAAATCCCAATATGTCTACTTCAATACCTTTTTTTATCACTTTTACATTGGAAGATGTTACCTTGATGTAAAAGGTATTGGAAAAAAGTGGTTTTTGTTGACTTTTTGAAATGACCTATAATGTCTGAATTCATATCTTTTCATGAGTGCATTTCTTGACCTTGAGGGCTGAAGATGAGTTGTAGGGAATTGGATTCTCTTCAAAGTGAGCCTTGGATGAGAAATTTATGATAAAGTATGAGAAAGTTATGTTTGGTCAAAGTTTGGTTGCCTTTTCCTAAGAAACCCTAATTTATCAATTTTTGAGTTCTGATGAATTAGGAGCATTCCTTGGGGAATCATCGTCAATCCTTGGTCAAATGATGGATATCACTTCAAAATTTAGATGTTGACCAAAAGTCTTGAAGTTTGACTGTATGTGGGCCACAGTTGACTTTTGGCCTAGTACAGTTGATTTTCCAACATTTGAGCAATTGAATGAGCAAACTTCTTGTGCAAAGCTTGAAATTTGACATGGAGGGTCTTGAGGACATATTAGGACTATGGAGAGCATATGAGGCCTTTGGAGCTCACTCTTCTTGATGAAAATGGAAACCCTAGTTGGAGGTTCATTGCTTTAGGAGAGAGTTTGTCTGGTCAACTCTTGAGCATCCTTGAGCAAGTTGAGGGTCTTAATGAGTATATATTGAGTAAAATGGGAGAGAAAATTTTGGGGTACAACAAGTGGCATATAGACTGAAGCTACCCGAGGGGTCTAGAGTGCATCTTATTTTTCATGTTTCATTATTGAAGAAAGCTGTGGGGCGTTATCACGAAGAGGATGAGTTACCCGAGTTATTGGAGGAACAGATTAAAGTGTATGAACCAGAGGCGGTACTAGCCACTAGGAAGGTGAAAAAACAAGATGAAGAAATAAGGCAAATCCTCTTACATTGGAAGGGCAAGACAACATAAGAAGCAACTTGGGAAGATGAGATAATGATCAGAAGCCAATTTTCAAAGTTTGGCCTTGAGGACAAGGCCATTGCGGAAGGAGAGGGTATTGATAGGACTCAGTTAGTTGAGAAAGAATTGCCACGTGAGCAGCTGATTTACAAGGAATCAAGTGGACCCCAAGAATGAAAAGTGTATTCTAGAAGGAAGGGTACGAATGGAATTGGTGGCTAGTTAGTTACAATATTGTGACATGGCTTGAGTGAAGAGAGCACCTTGCATTCCATTTCCACGATATAAGGAATCAGAGAGAGAATGTAGATCTCACCTTAGATTATAGTGATTTACTAGCATGTATAAGAAGCTATAGCTTCTTATTAGGAGCCTAGCTCTTGTCAGATCTAGGGTTACATTCCCCTTTTCTGTAACTGTTTCCATTCATATTCACTGTAATAAAGCTCTCTTTTCCTTTGTTGTTTGCCTGTACTGTTATATTATTGCATTCTGAGTTTTGGTTCGTATCACATAACCATTAGCAGCATTAATCAAAGTATAAGGTTTTTTTTGTGTCAAGTTTCGAGTACCTCAAGGTTGAAGGGTAAGCTTACGACCAAGTGACCTCTCAGGAAACTGGCATAAGGTTCTTTATTTTCCGGGGCCGGTTCTCCATAATTCTACTGTCTTAATTCATGTAACATGATTGATGAAACTTTGGTAATGCTTGGAAGGTACTCCATCAACAATACTTGTGCTCAACAAAGTTTAATGAATTAATAATTTAATTAACAATGTGACCTTTACAGAGTTTTTCAACAGTGGAGTTCTCTTCCAAAACATTATCAAACCTGCTCTTTTGCAATTGTTGTAATACATATTCTTGTTTATTGGTGCAGACATTAAAAATCAAAGGAAAATACATTTATTTAATCATATATGTTCAAGAGTAAATAACAATAAGAGGATTTGCAACCTCAAAGAGCAACACTTCGTAGCACAACAGTCTCAACGGTGAGTCCTGGACCAAAACCAAACAACACGCCCCACTCAAGCCCTTCACCAGTTGTGTCGACTCCATTTTCTTTCGACTTCTTCCTCATCTCATCTAAAATGAATAACACACACGCACTTGACATGTTTCCGTACTCACTTAGCACATGTCGAGTGGCTGCCAATTTTTCAGGCTTTAAGCCTAACTTGTCCTCGACTTGGTCGAGAATCGCTGGTCCACCGGGGTGGGCTATCCAAAAGATCGAGTTATAATCAGATATACCTAAAGGCTTAAAGGCTTCAGCTAAGGCCTTTTCAATATTCTTCGAGATGAGTCCAGGGACATCTTTCAAAAGATGAAATGTTAGCCCAACCTCGCGAAGATGACCATCGATAGCTCCTTCGCTATCCGGAAGAATTGTTTGTGCAGTCCACACCAACTCAAACAAAGGTCTCTCAACATCTGGTAACGGATCCGAACCAACAATCACAGCAGCAGCACCATCTCCAAACAAGGCCTGTCCCACAAGGCTATCAAGATGTGTTTCACTAGGACCACGAAACGTAACTGCAGTGATCTCAGAACAAACCACAAGCACGCGAGCGCCTTTATTATTCTCAGCCAAATCTTTTGCCAAACGAAGAACCGTTCCACCAGCAAAACACCCTTGTTGGTACATCATATAACGCTTCACCGAAGGACGGAGGCCAAGCAGTTTTGTAAGCTGATAATCAGCACCGGGCATATCCACACCACTAGTAGTGCAAAAGATGAGGTGAGTGATCTTGGACTTTGGTTGACCCCATTCCTTAATAGCTTTTGTTGCAGCTTCTTTTCCCAACCTTGGTACCTCTACAACCACCATGTCTTGTCTTGCATCCAATGATGGTGCCATATAAGCACAAACATTCGGATTTTCCTTCAAAATTTCCTCTGTCAAATACATGTATCGCTTCTTAATCATTGACTTTTCACCTGAAATATATATTCAAGAGTATTAATCTAACCGTTGATATATAAAAATCAAAAGAATCAAATGAAGGTTATATATTAATATCTTACACATGCGCATGAATTTTTGCTTGAGTTCCGTCTTGTCCTCGCTGTTGGTAACACGAAAGTAGTAATCGGGGTAGGTACTCTGATCGACGCAATTGGGAGGATTTGCAGTTCCAATTGCCAACACGGTGGCGGGGCCTTGAGCTCGTTGTGCCTGACGGATCTCATCAACACTCACCATCTTCTTCTGTTAGTTCTGTTAACAAAACTTTGACAGAAAATGGATCAAATTGGTATAAAGATGATATAATGTGTTACAAATTGGTATCAATATATATACATGTTTGAAAGAAGGTAGGTATATGAATATTATGGTAATAATAAATTAGTAATATTGAGTGTTGTGAAGAAGGACACAACACAACATTTAGTAGAAGGCTGCGCGTTCAAAAAAGAGTGGTGTCTGGTAAGATATTCATGACTGGTTTTTCCATACCAACCTACAAGAGCTTACACAAAAACGTGTGCTCCTAAGAACCACAACATGATCAAGAAAAAACTATAACTGAGTTCTGACTTTACATTGAATGTCTACAGAACATGTATAGTTTATTTACTTTTAATTTCTAATAATATACTCCCTCCACTCCGTTTATTTATAATTCTCACTTTTAAATTTTTTTCTCATACTAAATTTTTTCCACATATTAATTCTTGTAATTTTTTAAAGGGTTGTTTTTAATTGTTTATAAATTAATGTATAGAATTAAGATGGTTTATAAAATAGTTTAATATTTTTTCAAATTTTATTTTGATAAGCCATATTTTTCAAGTTATCACACTTTCATTTTCATTAAATCTCAGCATATGCCTCTCCGTCAAACAAAAAAAATGATTAGACAAACGATGTCTTATCTCTTTTCAACTGGATTTTATCTACAAATAAATCAGCATGATTAAAGTGTGCTTGAAATTCTATTCAGATAAATGACATATAATATATAAACTCAAAGCTATTATATTACACAGGTACTTGGAGTTTTGTACAAAATCAACTCAGAGCTATTATTTTTAGAGGAAATTAGTATTATTGATCGAAGTATTAAGTATTTCTTACATATTTTACAGTTATTTTATTTTCACTACAATTAAAATAATTTATGTAAACAAATTTTTTTATTTAGAAACTTTTTTTATAGTTACTTTCTGAGTGCAACTATTTCCAACATATTTCAAAAACTCTATAAATAACTTACTGTGATAGCTTATGTAAAGCTAAGCAAAGTTTACACGTATTTTTTTTAATTGTAAAAATAATTTACACACAAACATTTATATAAATTAAGTTGAAAAATACTCAATCAAATGCCTCCCAATAAAAAATTGGAACGTTTTCCTTTATTATATTATAACAGGCATGTTTATTTAAGTTTTGTTAAAAAAAAATTAAGGGGTAGTTGAAACCTTTTGCAAATACTTGGATGGACTAGCCAAGAGAGTGTGAAACACTAGTAATCAGAATAATAGAAAGCTGTACATGGTAGTAAAGTTATGATTGGAGTTGGTTCCTAGCTCTCTTTACCATAGTGATATAAACCAAATGTACAGAATGAATACACAATCATAAAATGAAGATTAAGTAGCATAAGATTACATACGAGATTCCAAAATTACAAGCACAAGCAAACTTCATAAGAGTCAAAATTTAAGGAACTAAATGAAGCAGATATAAACCCAGAAACATTCCTCAATAGCTTTTCTCCGATGGAAAATACTTCCATGCGGTGCTTTATGCACTGTTCGTCCGGTTCTGTACTAGAATTCAACAAAACTGACGTAAATTATTGTCAACCCATGCGTGGAATGATTTAAGCGATGCCGTATAGGAACATTTACATTAAGAACAGGTTGAACTGCACCTAAGTCACTGTACATAAGTATTCTCTTTCTCCGATTATCCCTTCACATTTCATTATATTATTAAGCCTACACAAACACATCTTCCAAGTCCATGACACTGAAAACAAGGCCATAACTAACCTTAACTGAATAGTCAAATGATAACAGGAAACAATATCAGAATTGATACAACACTCTAGATTCTAGAATAGCATCTACTGTTTCATTGACATTACAATGAGTTGGATTGCAGTTGATTATTAAAGAACTGACAGAAAAAATTTCCTTCAGTTTAGGTGCATTAAATTATTGTGCTTGAATAGAAGCAGTTAAAAACATGTAATGGACAAAAAATGTGAGACCTTTACACTAACAGTTTCATTATTCAATACAGAGGAACACAAGGAACAGAATGCATTATTATATAGAAGATTAGTTACACTAATATTTTAAACTGGACATAGTATACAACGATACCTATTTGAAGAGAGTACAGTAATGAATGCATTGAACAATATGTGCACTTTTCGGTTTTCGCCACTTCTGGTGACAGAAATGTTTGTGGATACTTCGGCAAAGAAATACAAAAATGGCAGATACATCACCCATCAACAATGAATTGATCTTCTTGATTATCCCCCTCAACCCTAGTGTCTTCGTGAACAATACCATTTACATGATGCAAGTTTTGCATCATTTGTGAAAGATAATGGTTGCTCGCACTAGTATGATCAGATAGGCCAGCAGGTTGGGCAGTCCACTGGGAGAATATACCGAGCAATTGGCTACTAAGATTCTGTTGCTCGTGAAGAATCCGAGTCTGCACCTGGCCCATCTCTGCTCGGTGCTGATTTAGCATGTCGTTGATCCTCTTCTTCCATTCTAGCCTCCTACAATTCATTCTCTCCTCCCGTTCCATCTCATGAATCAACTCTTCCTCTCTTCTTTTCCTTTCCTTCTCTTCATTTTCCTTCTCTATAGCTTCCCACTCAGACATCCTCTGCCTTCTCACGTTTTCCCTCTCTTTCTCCCTCTCCTTTTCCCTTTCCTCAAATCTCTTCTCCCACTCACCTCGCAGGGTTTCCCTCCTCTGTCTCTCGTGTTCCCTATCCATCTCACGCTGCTCAAATTGAACCTCCATTTCCCTCAAATGTCCCAACTGGTTAGCAAGAATCCTCCACACCTTCTTTTCCACCCCCTTCGCCACCTTCCTCTTCTTCTTCAAATTCGACCCTGTCACTTCACCTTCCTCATACACATAACCATTCTCCGCATCCTCTCTCGTCCGCCCATTCCCATTAAAATTCACCTCCCCTTCTTCCGCATCATATCCAAACCCTAATCCCATCACCTCATTATCAACTCCATCCATAGCAGCCGCAAAGTCACCATCTCCATCCCCCGAATGACCCATCTGCCCAAACTCAACCATATTCATTCCTTCATCTCCACCACCAGCAAGAAACCCATTTCCATGATCACCATCAACCAACCCAATCAACTCACCATTACCACCATGAAGATGACCACCTCCACCACCACCACCACCGACAACAAGCGCAACATCTCCAAACACTTCCTTATACCTAAGAAAATTAGACCAATGAGTAACCCCCTCCATCCAGTCAAACTCACTCCCATCACAACCCCCTCCAGAAAACTCCGGTTTCTTAATCTTCTGCTTCACCAAAAGATACTGATGCCTCATATTCTGCACCTTAGTGGAAACATCTTTCCAACTCCATTGCCAAGGAAACACCACGGGATCGCGAACATGATGCACCGAATTCACATAACAAGCTAAAGGTTTAAACTTTTTCTCGCGAGTTCTCATCTTCGCGAGCGAACCATCGGAAACCATCTCACCGTACTTATCGATTAGGGTTTTCTCCTCTGCATCGGTCCATTTCTTCCTTCTCGGAGGAATCATTTGCAACAAAACTCTACGCTATCTTCTTCTTCTTCTTCCTCAAGCACCAAAACCTGTTTCGATAACGATTCAGATTGCATCGAGAACACCAAGATCGTGAAATTCGGTTGAATATTGTTTCTCAATCTGGAATTTAAACCGCGATTGATCGATTAATTGAATCTTTCTGAAAATTGGAAAATTGAAGATGGCGTTGGATTACCTTGACGGAGATTCAGTGATTTTCGAGTGTTGATTTTGTGACGAAAACTATTGCAAATTTGCGAAGCTGAGATCGAAAATTTCACAAACTTTTTTTTTCTTCTTCAATTTAGAATAAGTAATTATTTTAATTTTGATTACATTTATGACGATATTAATAATATCGAAGTGGACATATAGTTACGAATTTATGACTTATATAAAATTTTATGTCTAAATTGATACACACGATCGACCAATACCGATTATGTTTACAATGAAATTTTTTAAATTATTTGTGTGATGTGACATAATGATATATTTTTATTAAATAATAATATAAAAAAAATTTCATTATCAGTGCATCTCATTCGACTCTTGTTTATTGAATAAAAGAATGATGCACTGATAGTGTAAATTATTTTACACCGTCAACCAATGACTATCATGTATTCTATTAAATCAAATTGAAAATTTAAAATTACTTATATGATATGGCAGAGTAATTTTTTTGGTTGAGCAAGAGGGTCGAAGCCCGTAAGGAGAAAAACTATAAGGAGTCTACAGTTGAGTCAAGCGATCTTAACGCATCTAAATGTAAAGTGAAAGTTAGATTGGATGGACATTGATCAAAATAATGATGATCTAATTTAAAATTAAGTCATACTTTCACCATTACATATGCATAGTAGTTTGTTTCACGGTATATGTGAGTAATGTAAATTTCCCAATCCTTTTTAAGCGTGAATTTGATTCGTTGAAGAATACCTCAACTTGAGCCTAAGTTAGAGTTTTCCTTTGCAATAGCATTGCAAACTTCTTGGTTGTCAAACATCTTGGTATATCTTTAGCTTGCAACTAGCCTTAATCTCTCATAAACTCCCTATAATTCATGCATGGTTACAACACAAGGGCCAATGTGTTTCGTGACACCTCCTACCCAGTCACCCTTGTTACCTTGGATTATCCTCCCCTCACCCCCGCAGTTAGTTGTGTTATATTTTACAACTTCATATGTGTTTAGTCTAAACCATCCTAAAGGTGGAGGGTACCACGTTGTATGTCGAGGGTTCCTTTTTATTGATGTTGACATTCTTCTACTGCCATATTAGACTGTTATGATAAGCTTTGACTTTAGTGTTTAAGTTGTCGGTCAAAAGAGTTGGCACAGTGAAGTCATTCACATGATTCCTCTGATTTCTTCAGTACCACAAAGTGTGGCAAGATGCGACCCAAGTAGCCGCCCATGTATCTTGTTCCCCATGACCAAGATTCACCTGCAAATTAAAATAAATCTAGCACAACGTGTTAGTATTAAAAAATTCTCTAGTGCTCAGGAACCATTGTAGGGATTCAGACACTCTTAGTCACATCATAGTCTCTCAGAGCATGCAAGATTGTCTCAACAATCTCTAAGAACTCAAAACATAAAGGCTCATTTATTTTTCTTTGGTGAAGTCGATATTTGTGATTAGACTATTGTGTTTCATCATCCATATAAAGGATCCCACTCTTTTTGGAACTTTGAGCTTTAAGATAAGATGCCATGTTTCAATATCTTCCAATTGATGGTTCCAATTGCTAATGTGGTCAAGAGCTCTAGTAACACTGAATTTACCATGTTTTGTCCCTCTCCATAAACAAATATCTTCATCATTAGTAAGACACGAGGGGGCAATAGTTTTCACTATGTCTAATATCACCTGAGGCAAAATCCTCCATAACAAGTTCATATTCTATATTCCATAATCATCAACTAGTTTGGTAACATGGTGAGGCAGATTTCTAGTATCAGGTTCCAACATAAAACCAGACAAATTCAGATCAGGTGCAATCCAACAATCATCTCATGCCCTCACTTTTTGACCATTCGCGATAGCCCAGTAAGTCAATTCATCAATTATAGGCCATATACTAGTAATTATTTTCCAAAGGAATGAGTCATACACCTTGGCACTAATGTTTTGATCCAGATTTCCTTGTCTATTATATTTACCTCTCATCACTTCACACCATAAGGATTTGTCACCACATTTAAGCTTCCAAGTCAATTTCAAAAGACATGCTTTGTTCATATCTTCCAAATCACTCAAACCCAAACCTCTCATCTTCTTAGGCATGATTGTATTTGTTAGTACCATGTTTTTTGGATTGACATAATTTTTATTAAAACATGATTTGCCATGACAGGTTTGTTGTTATGTTATTTTCAGCCAGATGTCGAAGACAGTGTCATGACATCTTGGTCTAGTGCAGCAGGTTATGCTGTTTGATTTATTATTGACAGATTTAAAATGATTATGTGAGATTCCTTTTGGTTTATCTCACTGATTTTTCGCAGGTCAAGGATATTTTAAATCTAGAATAAATAATATCTTCAGTTGTACATAGGTTGCTATAATTGGTTTATTGAGACTAATTAGGAAACCTTGTGTTTTGTTCCAAGATTCATGGAGATTTTCATGCACAGATTTGTGCAGCCCTCAACATGGACAACAAGGAATATTTTGGCGCAACTGTAAAGTCCAAGAATTGCCAAGGAGTATTTAAAGAAATTATCTAGACCTAATTGTTGGCTGAAGATTTTGATAATGTTATTTAGAAGCCAAGTAAAGTTAAATGTTTTTGATCGGAATGGAATTAAACGTCATATTTCGAAGTAGCAGAAGCAGTGTTTCGAACAAGTGTGTCAAAGCTTGGAGCTTCGAGCGGCAATTATGGGAACATATCTAAAGGAGTCTCGAAACAACAGCGAGGCTGTGTTTGGGAAGAGCGTTCGAAACGGAGAAACACCAAAGCATTTAAAATTCAAATGGAAGCGGGACTTTCAAAGTTTGAAAGTTATGTGTTGGAGCATTTGGGGACACGTGGAAAGATGAAAGAAGCATTGTCCTGCATGTTCGAAACGTGGCATAATCCTATAGCGAGACCGTTAGGGTCGAATTAGTATAAATAGAAGTCTTAGTATTAGGATTTCGTGTGTCATATCTATTATACAAAATACTCAATAACATTCAAACTACCACATGGCAAGGGAAACGAATGCAAGAGAAATGTATGTATGATAGCACCATGTATTTCTGATTTAATGAAAACCTTTTACCATTTCCAGTACTTTCCTTTATTCTTTTTGTCAAACAACATTTACAAGTTTTCTTATTTACAGTCTTTTCACTTCGAAGTCTCTTCCTCAAAGTTTTACGTTTTATTGTTTTCTTTATATTTCGAGCACTTTATATTTCAGAAAACTGTCACATTTTCCATACCTTTACCTTCAAGTCTTGTCTTTCGAACGCATATGTTTACTTAAAATCATTTACAGATTTCTTGCATTGAACGCTTTTGTGATCGGTGGATCTGGAACTGACTGTTTAACGCTGGTTCGCGAAATGTCGCGGAAGCAAGAGTCGCCACCGTCTTTTATTTTCTCCAAATGGAAAGGACAAAAGCACAGAAAAATTCCTTAAAGAGATTGCTCTCGGTTCGGGAGGTGGGTTATAGAAAGGGAAGGTGTTAGCACCCTTTCTATCCATGGTTATCCATGGGCTCTTAGATACTTGCTCAATGTGTTTTCAAAAATGTTCGTTTGCTTTTCAATGTGGGTTTGAAAAATTTCAGTTCGACTCGTACGTCAGAGTGTTTGAAAAGTTTGCTTTGAAAGCTTTTGAAAAGTGTTGGTGTGAAGATTTTTGTTTGTTTTTGAAGTTTAGAGCAAGTATCCTTGAGAACCTACCTACCCTAAGGAATTCGTCTGTGTAAATGTCCTTAAAAGTAGTGCCATCCCACCATTGAGAGGTAGGTAGCACCACCATTGGAGGTGTTCGGGTCAATTCGAGGTTCGGGACATGGTGATCACCAGAGCAATGGGAAGACACCTTAGAAGCTACCCTCATGCCAGGTTCCCGGATCATGAGGACTTACTAAGACATCCTCTACTCGACGATCACCTTTCGAAAGGCAACAGTGAGGCGTATCCTAGGGGTGGCGTGTGCGATTCGTGTGTCGTTTTCAGATATTTGTCTTGTCATGTTTATTTGTGTTCTACGCTTGATTTTAATTAAGACATTCATTCTTGCATGCTTTTTAACAGTTATAAAGTTTGCGGGAAAATAAATCTAAGGCTATTACAAAGGCGCGGGTCCACATCGCCAAAATTAAATCGGACCCGATTTGACGGAAAATAAATAAAGCGAAAGAAATAAGGGATGCGAGAAGTAAAATCGTTACAACGCTTTGGGAGAATTACATAATTAATCAACGACATAAAAATAAATATGCGAAATAAAAGATTTGAGAATATGGGCGTTGGACCCTTTTGCAAAAATTAAATTAATAAGGAAAAAAATGTTTTTGGTATTTTAGGTTTTTTTAAGATTTAATGGAAAAAGAGAATTAATTATAACTAAAATAAAATGTCAAACCCTAATTCTAATTATTTTTTAGTTATTATGAAAAACATTGAATTTTTAACTAATTTAAACCTAAGTTAATTTACATGCATTTTTTAATTATGAAAATAAATAAATAAATATTATTATTGTAAGAAAGGGAAATTAAAAGAAATCAAAATTGATTACACCTATTTCTACATATTTTTGGATTTTTAGTCATTAAAAGGATTAAAATTACAACCTAATTAAAACTAAGTTTATTTACATGCATTTATTTATAAAAATAATTAAATAAATAAATATTATATTTTTTGCCTTTTCTGATTTTCATGATGTTTTTGTATTTTATAAAAAAAAAAGAATTAATTAATTTGATTAAAACAATAAAGCAAAAATAAAATCATAATTGAAAAATAAAAATAAAAAAAA